TTTTTGTAAAGTAAAACTGCAACAAAGTTAAAACGTTTTACATTTTTAATAAAAAAATGGATAGTATTATACAGGGATCCAAACCGAAACGATTATCGGATCGGGTTCAGGTTCGGATAAAAATAACGGTTCAAGGTTCAGGTTCGGTTAGCAAAAAATAAAAATATCGGTTCGGTCGAACCTCTAAAAACCGGTTTGAACACTTTTGTATTCAAACCTACATTAGGATTATGTATAAGGAAAAAAAATTTTTTATTTCATAATTAAAATAAAAACCTTCATTTTTATTAATTGCACATTATAAAATAATATTTAATTTATAAATATAACAAATAAATATATCAATGATTAATTTTAATATAAACAATTACTTAAAAAATTTTTATTAAGCCGCACAATTAATATATTCTCAAAATTCGTCTCACTCAAATTACATCTATAATGAGATAATATTTTAAAAAATATCTTTCCACACTAACTTGGGTAGCTGGCATTGCCAGTATGATATCAGATTTGATGTGTCATTTATAATACTATATGTAAATAATTTATATATTAGATTTAACTTTTAGGCATTATAATTTATAAGCTTAAAATATTTAAAAAATGTTGTAAAATGGCAATATACTAAAGTTTATAAAAATTATGACTGACATTTATCAATCAAATGTGATTGATAATAATTTTTAAAACAATTTGAATATAATTAAAATTTAACAATATACTACTAGTAATAACTTACACATTATTTTATAAGCATAAAATTATGAGACTCGAACCGGTTCAGAAGCATTTTAGCGGTTCGGTTCAGGTTCGGCTAGAAACTTTTTTAGAGGTTTAGGTTCGATAAAAAATACCGGGTTTTAGCGGTGTCAGAGTTCGGTTCATGTTCGGTTTGGATCTCTGGTTATACTATAATCATATATTTTATTTTAAAAAAATGCACATCTAAAATCATATTCAAATAATATTCATTGAAAAAATATATTTTATATTAGATTTACAACGATATTGCACTATAAAATCAAATCATACATCACATGTTAAATATAAAAAAAAGCATACTCAATATATTAAATCAATTACTTATAAATATAAAATTATTGCAGTTATACAATATTACAGAGAATAAAATTGCTGCACTTTTATAAAATCAGGCACCAAAATAATATTAATAAGATTCTAATAAAAGAATTAAGAAAGTATATTATTTTTACGTTAATAAATTCATTAACTTTGATCCTTTGCGCAAATATACAGGAATATCTTCTAGTTCAATCTACGCTAATAGTTCTCGTTCAACTGATATTATTAAAAACGCTTATAATTTTTCTTGGTCAATATTAGATCTCAACTTATTTTTATAATTTTTAATTTACTAAATGCTTTCTCGCAATTAACCTTCGTAAATGATAAAATTAAAATGTATTCATATGCCAAAAATAAATTAGTGCCATTTGTATGCATATTGTATCTTTTAAGAATTTCATACACGCATATTAAACACTTGTTACATTTATATCACACTCTGATTTATTATCATATTGTAATATTTCATCTTCTTCATTTGACTCCTCACTTGTACATGCTATATAATCCCTCCGTTTCATTTAATTCTGCTACCAAATCTTTGAATAAACTGGAAAATGAACATAATTCGTTACAAAATTTAACACTCAATATATATGCCAATTGTGCCAGATTTTCCAAGGCCTTTTCAGAAATACCTTTATTATTTATTTCTTCAAAATGTCTTGGATGCAAATATCGCACATTCAAGATAAGCTCTCAATTCGCAGAAAGCAGTTCGACAAGCTGTTTATAATTTTATCAGTTATAGGAAGAAATATTTTGAACCTATAAAGGTCAATCGATTCTTGAGGACGTTCATCTTGGCATTTGTCACTATATATTCTCTTCGCTCGTCCTATTAGATCTTTTTACAGAGCATTTTGTAGTCAGATACTCCCCGGGAGCTATAAATATGAAAATGTTTCATTTAAATTAGCATTCATTTTATTGCTTTATTTTGAATTGATGTAATAATCGATGATACAGAAGATTTAGCATCTTCTTTCATTTTCCATGCTGACAAAGTACCTAATTTTTTAGTTTGAAGATATAACAGTGGCCCCACTATTTTAAAAATTTTCAAATATATTATAGATGTACTTAGAGTCTTTCAAGTTTTTGTCTCAAATTTATGTATTATAAATTAAAGTGCCTTTATCGTTATTGGGAGCAAGCTCTCTTTACCATATATCCATCTAAGTGCTTTTTCACGTGACTACCACCTTATCTCACCTATTTTTTGCACAGCCTTCTCAATTTATTTTGGCCAGATAAATTATTCTGTTTCACCCAAGCATCCATCCTTTTATATGATTCACCGACCTGATTTTATTTGATATCAATGAATTAAGAACAAGAAATGTATTATTTCTACAATAAATCAATGTATAAAAATAAATATAATAAATTAATCAAAACTTAGCTTTCACTCTACTCAAACAGCGTTTTCACTTCATTTGAAAAAAAAGAAAGAAAAGAACGTGGTAATGATGTGTAGCGTCATGCAACGTTATTGATATATGCATTAAAATATAGTAAACGACATGACAATTCTCAAGGAATGATGTGATATTCAAATCATAGAGATATCATTAAAAATAAATATGATATGAGAAAATAATGTGAACATAATAATAATTTTTTTCTAATCGGGGTCTATTTTGATATTTTCCTCTGATCGGCCTCAAAAATTCACATTTTCTCTCGGCCTCGTGGGCAAAATGCCCACCGGGTCTTATGGCCAGTCCGCCCCTGCCTAGTAGGCAAGAGCTTGGCTTACTTATCCCATGGTCCCGGGTTCGAATCCCTGGAATAGTCATGTTTTTTTTCTTATTCTAACTTGGTGGTTCCATCCTTGGGGGGATAATATATAGGAGGCCGGACTCGACCACGTGATTCCGTATTAATATATTAAATAATAAGAGTTTTATTACATTTTAATAAATTTTGGTCGGTATTTAGCAAATTAGGTTGGTATTTAGAATATTTCCATACATTCACTAAAGTCGCAATTATTTTGGGAGGGCCTCCTTTGATCGTATTATTTTGATCGTAAAATGGTACCTTTGTCCATTTCAGGTAAAAATGTCGATTTTTTAATTCATATGAATTTATATGCACGTAATTTTTCTAATTCTTTATATCAGATTAATGTAGTAATGTATACCTATTAACAAACATATATCAATGTATTATTTATTAGATAATGAAGAGCTACTGATTTTGAATGCCTTTAATTGATGGAAATAGAAGCAACTATAAATATGATTACAACGTATACCTATTAATAAACATATATCAATGTATTATTTATTAGATAATGAAGAGCTACTGATTTTGAATGCCTTTAATTGATGGAAATAGAAGCAACTATAAATATGATTACAATGTATACCTATTAATAGACTGATAAAAATGATTAAAATTTATTATTTATTAAATAATGAAGAAAGAAAAGCTACTGATTTTGAACTCCTTAAATAATGGAAATATTTTTCTAATTCTTTATATCAGATTAGTGTAATAATGTATACCTATTAATAAACATCAATTATTTATTAGATAATAAAGAAAGAAGAGCTACTGATTTTGAACTCCTTAAATAATGGAAATAGAAGCAACTGATCTATATGATTAAAATTTATTATTTATTAGATAATGAAGAAAGAAGAGCTACTGATTTTGAACTCCTTTAAATAATGGAAATAGAAGCAACTGATAAATATGATTAAAATTTATTATTTATTAGATAATGAAGAAAGAAGAGCTACTGATTTTAAACTCCTTTAAATAATGGAAATAGAAGCAACTGATAAATATGATTACAATTTATTATTTATTAGATAATTATAACTTATAAATAAAATTAATTGATAATTTGGTCAGAATATTATATTTTATTATACATCTATATTATAATTATACATAAGTTTTAAACAAATAAATATTTATTTATAATTTTTAAATTATATTGAGTAATTAGATTTTGAATATTCTTTTCTTTTGTTATATATTATCCATCATGATACAAGCACAAATTCCCTTTTGAAGTTGGAATATATTGTATATCTAAAAATTACAGTGTCAAAATATAAATTATTTATAATCAGATTATGTAAATGTAATAACAGATTATGTAAATGTAATAATATAATTTATTTACTTAAATTTTCATTGTTGGAATTATGTAAGTCTAATAAAATTCCTGCATTGTTAATGTCTTCCAGGTCTAATTATATTAAAATATAATTTAAAAAAAATGTTTGTAATCTACTTGTAAAAGTAGTTTGATTATTAGTGTGGTTAAATGCAAAACTTTGTATTTGGGCCACATTTGTTAATATATCTAAAAAAATGTTTATTAATTTATACAATTATTTTTGTTACTTGAAATTGGAGGGTAAAGTTATCTCTAGTAATTGGTTGTAATATTTGGGGCCGTATATGTTGTGGTTGTATTTGTTGAATTGTATTAGCTTGTTTATTCAAAAATAATTAATTTATTTGTTACTTATTGATTACTAGATGAGCTACTGGGTTGGCTAATATTCTGATCTATATTACACTGAGATTTTTTATCTAAATTAATGTATGTAATCTAGATAAGTTTAGTATTAAATCAGCTGTTAGATGATTTTGTGTCACTCTAAAAAAATATTTTTTTAAAAATCAAATTAAATATATCATACTTTGTAATGATTCATTTCTTCTTTTAAAAAATAGTCTTAAATTATCAGCTACAGTATTAAGCATAATGTTTTTAAATGATTTAATTTACCGCGATTAAATAGACCAATCAGAGAAAAATGGACAAAATTTACGATCAAATGACTTTACGATCAAAGTTAGGCAAATCATTATTTTTTATATGTAAAGTCTTTATGCTATGGGAACGAAAGAGCGAAAAGTTGGGAATATTCCCTCTAAATGTTCCCAAGATGGAGAAAATTTTTGATATGGAGAAAATGGAGAAAATAAATACCATGAAAATCCCAACTGTCGCTGATAATTTGAAAACCAGTTTTAGGCGGAGGCAATTAGATATTCAAGTATATAAACTTTTTAAATTTTTTTTTATAATTTTAGAAAACTCAAAAAAGACACAATTTCATAATCTATAAAGGTTATGAATATATACTTCATAAGAAAGGTAAAAATGCTACTTATTTTACGTGTAGAAAAAGGTGTGGTGGCCGAGGAAAATTGTTGGCAGGTTACAATTTTATCATAAGTGTGAAACATGATATAAATTGTAAGTCAAATCAAGGTACATAAATTAAATCTGATATAATAAATAATTTCTCTTCTAGATGCCCAACCTTTACCAAGTATAATATTTCATAACATACAATTCCAAATAGGTATCTCTCAAATTATTGAATTAAAAGTTTCTTTTACTACATTTGTTTTATTTATTAATTTAAGGCTCAAATCCTCAGCTTAATGGCAATAATGATGCACAGGCTTTGCTCACTGCCATTGAAAGTAGAAATTTTTTTACCAATTAGTTTTTAATAAATTTAATGATTTTAGATGCAAATTCAATACAATCTCCAAGCAACTCTCTATTAAGAGATAGCCATGCCTTTGCTGTTGAAAGTATAAATTTTTTTTACCAATTAGTAATTTAATGATTTTAGATGCAATTTCAATACAATCTACAAGCAGCTCTCTATTAAGAGATAGCCATGCCTTTGCTGTTGAAAGAATAATTTTTTTTACCAATTAGTTTTTAATAAATTTAATGATTTTAGATGCAATTTCAATACAATCTACAAGCAGCTCTCTATTAAGACAAAGCCATGCCTTTGCTGCTGAAAGTATAAATTTTTTTACCAATTAGTTTTTATAAATTTAATGATTTTAGATGCAAATTCAATACAATCTCCAAGCAACTCTCTATTAAGACAAAGCCATGCCTTTGCTGCTGAAAGTATAAATTTTTTTACCAATTACTTTTTATAAATTTAATGATTTTAGATGCAAATTCAATACAATCTCCAAGCAACTCTCTATTAAGACAAAGCCAAGCCTTTGCTGCTGAAAGTATAAATTTTTTTACCAATTACTTTTTATAAATTTAATGATTTTAGATGCAAATTCAATACAATCCACAAGCAACTCTCTATTAAGACAAAGCCATGCCTTTGCTGCTAAAAGTATAAATTTTTTTACCAATTAGTTTTTATAAATTTAATGATTTTAGATGCAAATTCAATACAATCTCCAAGCAACTCTCTATTAAGACAAAGCCATGCCTTTGCTGCTGAAAGTATAAATTTTTTTACCAATTAGTTTTTATAAATTTAATGATTTTAGATGCAAATTCAATACAATCTCCAAGCAACTCTCTATTAAGACAAAGCCATGCCTTTGCTGCTGAAAGTATAAATTTTTTTACCAATTACTTTTTATAAATTTAATGATTTTAGATGCAAATTCAATACAATCTCCAAGCAACTCTCTATTAAGACAAAGCCATGCCTTTGCTGCTGAAAGTATAAATTTTTTTACCAATTAGTTTTTATAAATTTAATGATTTTAGATGCAAATTCAATACAATCTCCAAGCAACTCTATTAAGACAAAGCCATGCCTTTGCTGCTGAAAGTATAAATTTTTTTACCAATTACTTTTTATAAATTTAATGATTTTAGATCAAATTCAATACAATCCACAAGCAACTCTATTAAGACAAAGCCATGCCTTTGCTGCTGAAAGTATAAATTTTTTTACAAATTAGTTTTTATAAATTTAATGATTTTAGATGCAAATTCAATACAATCTCCAAGCAACTCTCTATTAAGACAAAGCCATGCCTTTGCTGCTGAAAGTATAAATTTTTTTACGAATTAGTTTTTATAAATTTAATGATTTTAGATGCAAAGAAGGTTAGTATATAATATTATATAAATATAATCTTCCTTTTTTTTCAACCCTTTAAATAAACATATTTATTAAATCTATTTTAGATGATGATGATTATCAAATTGATGTTGCTAATACGTTAATTGATTTACATCAATACAGTCATAGTAAAATAAAATATATAATGACTAATTATTTTTTTATTTATTAAGGCCCTCGTTTTATAAAAAGCCAACAAGGAAAAACATTGTTATTTTATAACAAGTTTTTGTACAGAATTGATCATAAAAAGGATCTAATTATTTATTATCGGTGTCGAAATAAAAGCTGCAAAGGTAGATGCAAGTTTGATGGAACGTATTCTATCACTTGTCTTTATTCCCATCAACATGAGACATATTTTTATGAAAAACTTAGGACTAAAGAGGTCTTAGAAATGGTAGTAGCAGAAAATCCTCTCGAGACAAGATTAGCTATTTATGAAAAAGCTATGGTGATTCGTTGCTCGGAGAACTTGGATATTGCAGATTATCCAGAGGTTATCCCTTCGTTTGTCTCTATCAAAACTACTATTGATAGAATTATAAAAAAATATCGCCCTATGTTACCTCATTCTGTAAAGGATATTCATTTGACTCCCGAATATACCTTAACCAATTGGGGTGAACAATTTTTAATATATACTGATAGCAATAAGTTGATCATCTTCGGAACAGCTCAAATGCTGAGATTAGCAGAGAGAGCTGATAATATATATATAGATGGAACATTTTATTCTGCTCCTAGTTTCTATTATCAGCTCTATGTGATTCATGTATTGTATGACAAGGTAATGATACCTATTGTATATGCTCTTTTGCCAAACAAAAATAAAGAGACATATACAAAGGTATTAAGAGTCCTTATAAAATATTGTGGTGATAACAATATTTGGTTTAGTCCATCATTGGCCCAGACAGATTTTGAAAATGCAGCCATTTCTGCTCTTAAGGATGTATTTCCGACAATGGCAATAAAAGGTTCATGTAGTTTAATATATTTATTTTTTTATACATATATTTAGGTTGTTATTTTCATTTTTCATAAGCTTTATGGCGAAAATGCCAAACATTGGGATTATCATCATCGTACATGGGGCATTCGGATGTACATAAAGTAGTCCGAAGAATGAGCACACTCCCATTCTGTAGGGAAGAACATGTGGCAATAGTACGTGATACTTGCTATCAAATGGCTGCTAACAATAGTTTGTTACTAAGTTTTATGCAATATATGGATACAACTTGGCTCGGAGTTAGACCACTATTTCCTTATAAAATATGGTCAAGGTATAAAAGATATTAAATTATATAATATCTAATTTATATATTGTTAATTTAGGTATAGAGTACTGGGTCCCCGCACAAATAATCATTTAGAGGGATTTCATCATGCCCTGAACCGAAAAATATCCTATGCTCATCCTAATATTTATACATTAATAAAAATTTTAATAAACTATCAAAACAGTAATGATCTAAAACTTATTCAAATAAATAATGGATCAACGGTTAATCGCATTAATTACTCTTACGAGATAAAAGATCGTATGATCTCAAATTTAACAGATATTTATGAAGAAAGCGAAGATGTTATTACATTTTTGGACGAGGTTACCAAAATCATTAAATTAAAATCTTAATTTTTTATTTTATTTATAAACATTTTCACAGTTATTATCGCTCCTTTACAAATATGTATTTCCCAATTTATCCAATTAAATATTTTTTATTACAATTACATGAAATTTAAATAATTAATCAAAATCTATGCATATAATTTTAATGTAAATATTCCGTTCGCTTTTATTTTACAGGTATATTTTTTATATGATTTTTTAAATAAATTATTTATTTTGTTATATTACATTATATATAAACGCTATATTTCTATTGGCATAATTTTATATATATTTAATTTAATATGAATTATGTCTATTCAATTTTTATATTTTATGATCGCATATTATATCATGATTGGGTTTATTAATATTATATATTATTCAGTGCAAATATAAATGATAAATCCTTCTTTGCAATGTATAAATACTTAAGATAAATAATTTATTAATATATATATAGAAGGCTTTAACACTAAAAATCAAAAAGTGAATGTAGAGATATATTTAATACTGCCTTTTTAATTCTAGATTTTTCTTAACATAATAGAATGAAATATCTGAAAAACTAAAACAACACTTGCTTTATTGAATGTTTAGGCTAGTGATAAAAGATATAGATTAGATTAAAAATATATAGAACAAAATGATATTAAGAATAATTTTAATAAATTATTTTTATTATATATTTAAAAAATTAATATTAAACATTAAAAAATACTTAATATTTACCATATATAACTATCAAAATAATAATATTTATTAATAGAATTCATGACTTTTTTAGTGGAGTTATAAATTATGGGAACATTTTTATCAAATTTTTTTTCGCTCTTTCGTACCGAATTCGTTTTTATATGAATGTTATACCAACCATTTTTCCCATATGGTTTTTAATCTATTATCATAGTTCGCTATTATCTAAGTTTATTTATTCGCATCGTAAAGGTAAATGTGAAAATTTTCATAATTAATTTTTTCAAAATTCTGTTTGCTTTTTTTAAGATATAGAATATAAAATTTATATATGTGATGAGAATATTAATATTTGAAGTTATTTTCCAATCATAATTATTGCTCTCTCCTTGCTGGGACATAGTCCAACATGCTAGGAAAGAAATTAGTTAATGATACTTATTTTTTTTTATATTTTAACCTAAAGTTAATTTTTTAAAATTGATTTAATTTTCCCAACTTACTTCCCCCAAAATTTTCCCCAGTATTATCCCAAAAGATTAAGTGTTTGTTTTTATTGTTTGTTTTTATTCCCAAAAGGTTAAAAAAGGTTAAAAATATTTTTATTTCTTGATAATTTATCAATTTAAATTTTGATATCCTTCCAAAAATAATCTCATTTAAGATATAGACAATGTTTATGGCTAAATGTGACTGGTTAAATATTTCAAAATCCATTTCATATTGCAAATAATATAACAAATAAAGAATATCTTTTAAAATATTTAAATTTTTTATATAATAATAATAATTTGATTCCCTTTTTTCCTTTGTTAATAAAATATGTTTAAAATATAATATTTCATATTTAAAATATGAAATCTATGAATTTTAAATATTTGCTATTTTTAAATTTGAAACATCTAATTTGATCAAAAATAAACATAAGTGGATGGGCATGGGTGGGGGGGGGGGTCAAATGTTACATTATTTGTATTTGATTCATTTAATTAAATAGATTGATTTACTTTTTTTTAATAAAAAAAATAAAATTTATTAGGATTCTATTTAAATGATTCAAATAATTTTTTTAAATATATAATAATTCTAAAAATATATTTATATTGACCAAATTTTTTTAATTTTTTTTATTGCACATCTAATATAACAAAATAAAGACATTTGATCAAGATTAACAAAATTAAAATTAGGGCTGTGCCGATCCACATATTTTTCACCTATTCGATCCGATATAGCTTCAACCCTGATCCAATACCGATCCGATATTTTTACTGATTTTTAATCAAATGTAATTAAGAAATCAATATTTTTTATGCAAAAAATCGAATTATGAATTTAATTTAATTTTTTTATTTCTACAATTAAGACTATAATAAAAAAAATATATATTTAATAATATATCCATTTTATGTTTGAATTATAAAATTGTAATATTTAATATATAAAATTATAATATATTAGATTTTTTTAATAAATATGAGAGCCTCTAGATTTTCTGGGAATAAGCTTCTACAATATGGACTATCTATATCTCCTGCCATACTGAAGGCAGACTCAGATGATTACACAGATAACGCATTTTGCAAAATTATCTTTGTCTTTTGTAAATATTTCCATAATTCAGATACCATATTTAAAAAAATTCTTCTATTTAAAGTATAAATAAAAAAATTGGCGTTATTTAAAAAGATTTAAAATAAATAAAACTTTGGGTGTTCCTTTCTATTATTATAAAAAAACTTTTAAAATACTATAAATTTATTTAAAAAATATATAAAATCTGAGGGGTGTTGTACATTTGCATTGTTTAAATAAAAAATTATTTAGGAAATATTATTAATGTAAAATAAATATACATAAAATAACAAAAAAAAGGAAAGTAAAAAGATCGGATCTGTTTTTTACAGGTATCGGCCCGATCAGATATTTTTGGAAAACGCTAAATATCGGTACTGATCCGATCCGATATTTAATATCGGCACAGCCCTAATTAAAATGTATATTAATTTAATTTGCAATGCCAAAGCCAATTTTTAGGGCAAGGAGTTTTCTTATTGTTCTTCTTTATTTAAACCTTGACAGTAAATTAGTTCCAACTCTGAATAACTTCATAATTAGTTGATGTACCTTGTTAGTCACATCAACTGTTCAATTGATAGGTCTTTAATACTGATTATTTATTAAAAAGAATTAACAATTATTTCAAATAATTTTATTGAAATAAATTGAATCAAATAATTGTTTATTTGTATGTATTTGAACTAGCGCTGGATCCACATATTTTTTTACATATCCAATCCAATATTTTCCAATATTTAAAACTGATCTGATATTTATATTGATATTTCACCACCCCCCTTTGAACCAAATTTAATTAAGAAATCAATATTTTTTATACAAAAATTCGAATTATGCATTTAATTTTATTTTTTTATTTCTACAATAATTAAAAAAAGTTTACAGATATTGGTAGTATTAAATGAATTTTCGATTATTCCTCCCCGTGAAATTATAATTCCGCAGATAAAGCATTTTGCAAAATTATCTTTGTCATTTGTAAAATATTCCCTAATTCAGATACCATATTTAAAAATTTTTTTTTATTTAAGGTATAAATAATAAAAGCGTTATTATTTAAAAAGATATAAAATAAATAAAACTTTGGGTGTTTATTATAAAAAAAACTTAAAATACTATAAATCTATTTTAAAAAATAAATAAAATTTAAGGGTATTGTGCATTTGCATTGTTTAAAAAAAAATATTTAGAAAATATTATTAATGTAAAATAAATATATATATAAAAAATAAAAAAATAAAAGTAAAAAGATCGGATCGGATCAGATCGGTTTTTACAGTTATCGGTCCGATCCGATATTTTTGGAAAACGCTAAATATCGCTCGATTTTGAATATCGGCACAGCCATAATTTGAACAAAATGAATAATTTACTATCATTCCAATATGTATAGAGTATCCACACTCAATTTCAGAGATATTGCCAGAGTTTTTGAAACACTTTATTTACATTATCCACAAAAGTTCATGGTTAAATTTTCTGAAATTTAAAAGTTAGATATTTACACATTCTGGGATACATTTCAAATTAAATTAGAATTTTCAAATTTAAAATCTCCTTCAGTAGATGATATGAAATTGGGAGGTTTGAAATCTCAATAAACTTATCTAATATGAAATAAAATTATCCAAAATAAGGATAATTGGATTGGATTAGTTTTTCAATCTTATTTAATATTGGTATAGCCATAAATGAAATAGATAACATCATTAAATAAATATGCAATTGCTGAATATTTAAATTTATTGTATAAATTAAAGAATAAAATATTGATAAGCATTTCTTAGTTCTATTTATAAAAACTGTTACAGATCCTTATATGAATTGTAATAAAATTGTCAAGGCTCGTGGGCGAGACTTGAAATTAATTGAACCTAGAATTAATAATTCGGTAAAGTCTTACGAAACCAATCTCGAAATTTATACCACAAAAATAAGTTTCTTGAATTATAAAACCATACACTGACTTTTATTTAAAATTTTTTCATTCATATATATTTTTTTTTAATATGCAAAAAAAAATACAATTATATTAAAAATTCATAAAAATAATAAAAATTACAAGTATTCATAAAAATAATTAAAATTACAGTTTTGATGTAGCCCTGCAGGCCTCAAGTGGCCCCTACACTTTCTGAGCGAATGAAGCAGAATACCCTTCTGAAAAGTACCCCCTTTAAAAGTACTCCCCCCCCCCTCGAAAAAATGATAATTATTTTATGACACCCATAAATTTCAAAAATAATTTTTATTGCATCAATTTTTAATATATATAAATAAAATGCAAATATATACTTTATAAATATTATTTTTAAATTAATAATTTAGATAAATTAGAGAACGAGAAAGCGAAAGAATTTATAATTTCATCAATATTTAATTGTTTAAATAAATTTTTTCCATTGATAATATGGTTAAATTATTGAGAAATGAATCTTTCATGGTACTACGAAGTCTTGTTTTAATTAATTTAATTTTACTCATGACTCTTTCGGCAGTACATGAGGTTGTAGGAATGGTTAATAAATATTTATATAAAATTGTTAAATTAGGGAAAGCAGAAAAATTTAAAAGTAGACGACAATGTAAAATAAATGAATAGTTTTTCCAATCTGAATCGTAAGTCCCTGATTTTTCATCATCATCAGAAGAAGCTAAATAATGTATTTGTAAAAATATTTTAATTAAATAAATTTACAATTCTCAGAATCTGACAAATCTTTAGATTCTTGAACCTCTAGGTCATGAGTAATAATTACATTTCCCATTTTGGCCATCTTATAAATATTTCTAAACTTCAACATTTTTTCGAAAATTTGACTTTAATTTAAATTGTAAAATTCACAGATATCCTCGATATCTTCTTTAATAATTGATTTTTCTGCCACATTATTTGGCGTAAAAAATGATGTTTGATGTAAAAATTTCATCGTTAAACTGCATAATAATTAAATCGAGTGCAGCATAAAACACCTATTTTAAAGCTAAAAAAAATTTCTATATTTAATGATGAAAGTATATATACCTCCTCTCCTTTTTGGATTGTAATGTTTGAAGTATAGAACTTTCAAAATCAAAAGGTAGATTTCTCTCCTTCATAAAATCTTGTGCCTTTGAAAAACATCCAAAAATTCAGTGTTATTATCTATTAGATTTAAAAATAATTAAGACAATAATTTATATTATACTTCTCAAATTAATCAAGCAATCTTTTGCCAATTGAATTTGATTTATTGCAAACCCTATATCCTTCGAAATGGTTTGCAATTTTGTACAAGCCAAACTTGTTATCAACAATATTTTATCCAAAACACTAAGTGATATGATGAAATCAAATTTTTTTATTCTAAAGACAGCACTATCCATAGTGGAAGTGGCAGGATCTTCAGAATCCTTTAAATTTGTTAAAGCTGCCCTCAAGGCATCATAAAGTAGAAAAAAATTTACAATAGCTTTATATGACGATAGCCAGCTTCTAAATAAAAAAACATTTTAAATATAAATAAATAAGGTACTATTACCGTACCGAGTAGTATTCTTGATGCGTAGAAATCGTTGCGATTTTTTCAGATCATTACACTAAAATTTTTTGAGTATCTCATATCTTTTTTTACCATTAAAATAGATATAAATCTCATCTAGTATTCCTAGAATATTTCGAAGTTCTTTAATTG